CAAGATTGGAGGAAGGCTCATTAACAACCTGCAATATGCAGATGATACAACCTTGCTTCTAGCCATAGTCTTTATAAATTCCTACCAAACAACTTTTTCCTGATGGATTGGGTAAGAAAAGGTGGAGGAAGATGCCGATGGATTATAAGATTCCGTTGTGATTGTTAACAAGGTTAATTGGGAAAACTTGAAACTCCAATGTGGGTATAAAATGAGCCATCTCAGAAGCAGGAAGAGGGGAATCTCACTACCAGGAAGGATGAGCCAGGAGTGGAGTGCATCCTTTGGACCCAAGATCTCTATGCATTGAAACTTCTAAATTCAGGGGCAGAATGCTAGGACACCAGAGGAGCAGCCGCAGCAGAACCAAGAGCCAGAGCACAAGATAGAGCAGTAGGCTTCTCAACTGACAGAGCAAGTAAAGCTGACTTTGGGCACATGGTTTGCTTGCAGAATGGGGTGTCCCCAGGCAATTAATTGAGGGGGCTAGATTTGCTGGCCCATGGAGTTAGAGACGAGTACTTTCAGGCTAAAGCTTGTGTTGGAATGGTGTGCCCTGTGAGCATGTATCAGCTGCTCTAAAAGAGCTTTGTAACAGTGCCCAAACAGAGAAGTCTGCCCGTAGGTGCAAACGAGGAGAGGCTGTCTTGACTGGAAGAACTGTGCCCTGAATATTTCTTACCCTGAATTGTAATCTTTTAACTTCCCTAATAAATCCCATAACTATGAGTATGGTGTCAGAGTCGTGTGTGGCTATCGCAAAGGCTTATTGGACCCTGCTGTGAAGCAGACTGCTATGGAAGGAACAATTGGTGTCATTGTTTTCACACCACCTTAGTGGCTTTTGTCTTTGGTTTATACAATAGCTACTTCAATAATGACTAGTGTTCATCTTTTAAAATATAGCTTTTAGAGGATAGGACTCTTTTTCTTAGACATCTTTTGTTTCTTCCTTAATGCCTAGTGGAGTGTTCTGCACATAGGACATAGACCATGATTGGAAGCAGGACATACACGAGTATACCTGTTTTTCCCCATGTCTACGAGTGTTTGGCTAACAGTTATGAAGTCAGTGTTAAGGGGTTCAAAGCATTTAAAAAAAACAAAGCAGAGGAAGCCAGTGTCCACATTGTAAGGAAACGCAGGCTGCCATGAGGCACAAACTGTGTGGTCATTTCCTCCACTTCAGTCCCAGCCTCTGGGGCTCCAGACATCACTAGCTGTGACAAGTTAGCCATCCCACCCAAACTCTGGACCCACCAAAGATATGAGTATGATTAAGTAGTTGTTTTATACAGCTAGGCTTGGGCAAGTTTCCCTGGCAGCAGCAATTAGAACAGGATCCACACCCTGCAGGGAAATGGCTGGGTGGTCTGACCTGCCTGGATTTCAGTCTCAGCCCCACCAATGCCTGGCTCTTTCTCATCTGTAAAGGAGGTGGTGTTGCAGGGTGAGGCAGCAGGCTGGCATACAGCAAGGGCTCTGTAATGTTGGCCAAGATACATACATGTCATCGCTATCACCACACGGTCTCGCTGCTTGGTTGGAGCAAGACGCCGTTGTTGTTGTTGCTGTTGTTGTTGTTGTTAGATGTCAGTGAGTCAGTTCCAACTTGTAGTGACCCATGTACAGCACTGAAATACTGCCCAGTCCTGTACCATCCTCATAATCACTGCTGTTTGAGCCCATCGCTGCAGTCACGGTATTAATTCAGCATGTTGAAGGTCTCCCTCTTTTTCACTGACTCCAGGGACTAGCCCCTTCTGGTAAGTCTCACCATTCTCTTTTCTAAGGAACATTCCAGCTGTGCTGTTTCCAAGACAGATAATGTTTGCTCTTCCAGCAGTCACGAGTTTATTGAGTATTCTTTGCCAGCACCATAATTAAAAGACATCAACTCTTCTTCAGTCTTCATTATTCATCATCTGGCTTTTGCATGCATCTGAGGTGACTGAAAATACCATGGCTTAAGTCAGGCACACCTTAGTCCTCACAGTGACAACTTTGGTCCTGAACACTTTAAAGAGGTCTTGTGCAGCAGATTTGCCTAATACAATAGGTCCTTTGATTTCTTTACTGCTGCTTCCATGGGTTTTGATTGTGGATTCAATCTTTTCTCTATGTATTCTAATGTCGTTTATTGGTCTAGTTGTGATGATTTCTGCTTTCTTCCCATTGAGCTGTGGCTCATACTGGACTGTAGTCTTTGATCTTCATCAGTAAATGCTTCAAGTTCTCTCCACTTTCAGCAAGCAGGATTGTGTCATCTACATATCGCAGGTTGTTAATGAACTTCCCTCCAATTCTGATGTCTCCTTTTTAATATAGTTCAGCTTCTTGAATGTATTTGCTCAGCATACAGATTAAGAATGGTGAAAGGATACAACCCTGACACACGCCTTTACTGATTTTAAAATCATGCAGTACCTCCTTGCTCTGTTTGAATGACTACCTTTTTGGTTTACATACGGGTTCCGCATGAGCACAAGGAAGAGTTCTGGAATTTGCATTCTTCACAATGTTATCTATAGTTTGTTATGATCCACACAACTTTGCATAGTCTATAAAACACAGGCAAACATCTTTCTGCTGTTCTTTACTCTCAGTAAAGTTCCATCTGATGTCAGCAATGATAGTCTTCATTCCATGTCTTCTGAATCCTGCTTAAATTTCAGACAGTTCCCTGTTGATGTACTGGTTTACAATTATCTTCAGCTGCAACTGTTTTTGAATTTTCTTCAGCAAAATTTTACTTGAGTGTGATATTAATGATATTGTTCAATGATTTCCGTATCCTGTTGAACCAACTTTCTTTGGAATGAGCTCAAATATGGATCTCTTCCAATTAGTTGGACAAGTAGCTGACTCCCAAATTTCTTTGCTCATTTGTACTCCATCAATTCCTGGAGACTTGTTTCTCAGCATGGCTTCAGTGCAGCTTGGACTTCTTCCTTCAATACCATCAGTTCTTGATCAATGACCTGCATCTCCACCACTCTATCTCCATCATTGCCCAGCTCCATGGACTCGGGTAAGTCCCTATTCCTCAGGTTTAAATGAGATGATAAATGCCCATGTGCTGGGGTTATCAGGAGAACTAGGATTATGTGCTAAGACTGGTGTTTATTTCTTAACCTCATCTCCCCACTTGACTGTGAGTTCCATGGACACTGGGATGGGCTGAGCAGAGTGGCCAGCACACACAGGTGTTCAAGAGATGACTGCAGAATAGCTGAGCAGGGTAGCCTGACCTCTCACTCAGGGGATACAGTTCCCACAGAAGAGCAAGAGTCTGAGGAAGTGCTATCTGTCCCAACCACCTACTGGTTTCACCACTCTGTCCACTAGCTGGCACTCCGACACCCCTCTGGGCCCTCGGCAAAGGCCATCCAGAAGATAGCTTCCTCTAGTCTATCCCTTCTTCAAGAAACCTCCCCTATGCTCAGGGCTGGTCAGGAGCATCCTTACAGCCTCTACCACCTGGCTTACCACCATCTCATCAAGTATCTCTGTCTCCAACAAGGTCGTGGGATCCTAAGGGAAGACCTCCATGAAACTCTACCCTGCACACAGCATTACGGAGCAGATCTCACAGTACCTGCACGTCTTCATTCAGGACTCAGCTCAAATGTCACTTTCCTACAACTAAAGCAGTTCCTTGCTCCACCTCACCTGTTCTGGGACAGGGACGTTGGCTGTCCTGCTCCCCTGTATCCCAGGACCTAGAAAAGTGCCTGGCTCATTGCCAGTGCTCAAGTAGTGCCAACAGCATGCCTGCACAGGTGTAACCTGGTATGTGCATAGGAGGTTTGCAGCAGCATTGCCCAGCAAGCACTGTGCAGCAAGGGAAGGATGAGGGCTGTGTGCTAACGTCATTACATGAAAAGCAAGCTGTAAAACGATGTATCGCATAGTATACACACCACAGCATAGTATATACTGTGCTAAGATTTGTGTAAGAAGCAGTGGGGGCGGGGGGAGGCAAGGAATAAGAATATAGATTTGAAGTAAGAAACCCTAGTAGCATAATCAAGAAGCTAATAAGAATCATTACCTATAGTGGGCAAGGGGAAGTACTGTGTCTGAGAGGAGCAGAGGACAAGACTTCTCCGTGTATACCTAATATTACCTAATAAGAAATTCCCTAATACAATGGGAAAAGAAAGATTTCACAAGGATCTGTGTTAGTATTCAATATTCAAACACTGAGTATTATTGTTATTCGAATAATACTAATGTTAATATTGTTATTCAAATTGTGTTTCTGATTACTCTGAGTATTGTGATTGTTGAGTGCTGTTGAGTCATTTCCGACTCATAGTGACCCTGTATAGGGCTTCCAAGGAGCGGCTCATAGGTTTGAACCACTGACATTGTGATTAGCAGTCCAGTGCTTATCCTACAGTGTCACAACAGGATTCCACTCTGTGTATAAAAATACATATATAAAGGATGAGAAAAACGTTGAATGAACAGATGAACACATGGCTGTACATTCTTTTGATCCTCAGAATGCCTTGGGCTTGGCCACAACCAGGAGCTCCATGGTGCCAGCTCAGAGAAGTTACTGCATAGGTGGGACTCCCTTCAACTCAGAGGAGTCTACAGGCCTCAGCCCTATGTGCCCCTGCAGAGCAGCCTTCTCCCTGTGTACTCTGACCTGTTGAAGCATCTTAGTCCCGAACACCCATCCCTCCATGCATCAGAGGCCAGCACCGGGCCAGGCCCCACCACTCTGCACCTCATCAGCTTCCATACTCAGAAACACGGGACCATGCAGCACCTGCCTTGTTAAGGTTAGATGGCACACAGCAGGTGCTCATGTATGCTAGCTCAGTGTGGCCACGGTATTTTCCCATGTGTCCTCAGTCTGGAAGGAAGGAAGGAAGGAGGGGTGGAGAAGCCAGGCAGCTCTGGACACAAGGGGGTGACAAGAGGGGGTGAGCAGACACAGGCCTTCCTCACAGGTGGGCCCTCTGGCTGTGTGGGCAGGTACTTACCGAGGAAGATGAGCAGTACACCCACACCAATCTGGAGAACAAGGGAGATGGAGATCAGGACTACCAGGGGCACAAAGAAGGCAAAGCTGGAGCCCTGCTCAATGACGGCCTTGAGCTGGGAGGCGTTGGCCATCAGCAAGGCAATGTCCAGCATACTCTCGGCTGCACTCTTCTTGTTGGCATAGTGGTTCACGTTGATGGGTCGGGTTCTCCAACCCAAACGTGGAGGCTGTGGAATGAAGTATGATCAGCCAGAGCTAGTGGGATGATGGCGGGTGGCGGGGAGCTCAGTCTCACCCCCAGCACTCCCTCTACTACAGGTTGACAGATCTGAGTAGCCCCCTCCCAACTTTAAGCTCAGTTTCCTGTGCAACAGGCTTGTGACTTCAGCAAGACTGCCTGCCCAACAAGGCCCTGCAGGTAAAGGCCTTATTGCAACCCTGGCGCACGTTAGGAGGTGACTATTACTGTACTAAGAAATCACAGATGTTCAGCCTGGGCAGAACTTTCCCTAGGGATGAAGTCATGAAAGCATTAGTTATGTTGGCATTGGAAATGTGCCCCACCCTGCCCCTTCACACAGGTGGAGCTGTGTGGGCAGCAGCCCCAGAGCTGCAGGCTCCTGGGCACGGCTTGCTCATTCTGTGTTCCCTCAGGGAGGAGGTGGTGAGTGGAGCGAGCTGGATTCCTGATCCTCACACACTTGCCCCAGCATGAAACAGAACCTTCCCTAGTGGAGGAGGACCCGCACCTCTTGGCTGCGTGGCCCAGATAAGCTGCTGACCTCACTGTGTGGCAACATTGCCCACTTTGCTAAGCATGCGTGAGGAGACATCCAGAGCCCATCTGGCACACAGGAAGTACTCAGATTGCAGTTGGGCTTAGCTTCTTTCTTAACTTCTAGGTGAATGAAATAACCATACATGTATTGACCTGGCTCCTGAGGACCACCTGTCTGTCCCAGTACTAGCTGGGTCATTTCTACCTTCTAGGGTTCCCTATGACAGGTGCTTACTTCTGAGGTCCACCTGGGTCACTGAGGGCAGCCATTTTCAGGCTGCATCTGGTTTGGCCCCTCTCCAGCCCCCAGAACAAACCTGCCTTAGCCCTCTATCCAGAATGCTCCAAGGCCACCACCTCCAAGTACTGGTGGCCCATTCTCCTGTGCTGCCCTGTTTCTAGACTCATGAAAAATGCATGAAGCCTGGAGGTGGGAGGTCACGAGACACAGTGGCCTGAGTTCAGGAAGGTGGGTTAGGCTGAAACAATAACCAAGAATGGACACAGAGTTCTACACAGCTCAGCAGTCAGCAGCTGCCTCCACGTTTCGTTATCTTTAAATATCTCACAATTAAAAATACATGTTCTAGAAAAACCCAAAGTAGTGATAAAGAACTAACAAAGAAACTGGAGCTTTGCTTTTATGGTAAGTTATTTGTCAAAGTGTTTAGGAAGAAGGGGAGGCTGGGTCTTAGGGATGTGAGCAGGCTCTGTTACAGGCTCCCGGCGCCTGCATGTCCCAAATCCTGTCTTAACATCACTGCTTTTCATTCAAGTAGCAAATCCACTGGGTTAAAAAATCCAAAGGCACGGAGCACACAGGAAAAGCGACTTTCTCCTGGGCTCCGAGGTTCCCTGAATACACCCAGGAAATAGCACCATGGATCCCTATGGGCTCCTGCCCTGACCAGGCCAGCACTTACACACACACACACACACACACACACACACACACACACACACACACACACCCTCCCCTGCTACCCAGCCTCCAAGGCTGTGATGAACCTGTGCCCTCCCGACAGCAGAGGTTGTCCCAGCTCTGCCCCAGATCCTGGAAGGCCACTCACTATTCATAGTGTGTGTACTCCCAAATTCCATAAACCATGCCAAGTGGCCCCTCAAAGCTGCCCAGTCCTCATTTGGTCTCATCCAGGACATGGGCACTGGGCAGAGTTCCTACTTTCTGGGAATTACAGGGGAGGTAGCCATATACATATGCATGCATTTACATATGCATATATGCTCACTAAATGCATACATATGCATGTACACAAACACTATACCCACATACCTGACTATACTATACATGTACACATGTGTAATACACATACAGAGTCATGTGTCCCTTAATGTCCATGATACATTCTGTTATACAATTTGAATGTTTTGTGAAGACCATATTAAAGACTGGCAGTCCCATAAATTATACCATGTGAAGCCTGTAATATTAAAACCTATGGGAGCCCACCGGACAAAGCCCAAGAGCTAAGCCACTGGCTATAGAAGGCCAGCCTTGCTGGGTATGCAGCTGCAGGCCTTGGGTGGAGGTTGTGCCAGTAGCTGGTTTGGGACTTTTCGAACATTAGGGCATGGAGTAGGGGAAGTACATGAGTGGAGGTGGAGATGCCAGACGTGTCTGCAAGAACTGAGCAGGGAGTAGGTGGGTGAATGACGCCAGGAGAAGGGGAAGGAGGGAGCGGAGGGCGAGGCGGAAGAGGCAGCCTTGTGGGTATTAGGATGCACCCTGGAGGCCCACTTCTTGCTCACTCTGAGGTTCTCATGGGTCTTTAAAACCATTGTTGTTGCTACTGTTGGTAAATGCCTTTGAGTCGGTTTCCACTCACAGTGACTCTGTATAGGTTTCTAAGGAGCAGCTGGTGAGTTTGAACTGCCAGCTTGTGATCTGCAGTCCAGTGCTGATCCTACAGCACCAGCCGGAACCCATTAAAACCGTTAGTGGGAAATAACCAAGAAAAGCAGCAGCAGCATGGACTGTACATTCCCTTTCCTGGAAGGAAGGTCAGAGTCAGCACAAGTCCTGTCTTGGCTGGAGCTCCCATGCAGCTAGGCTAACCAAGGTCCTATGGGCTCAACACTGTCCAAGAGTGACCCCAAATGGATTATTATGACCGATTTAAGTCCATCTTTTAGAACTTAGCCAAGACACAGCCAACCTTGGGACCTGCCAGAAAGCAGAAGTGAGGAAAAGAGCAAACTTCCTCCCAGGCAACTGGATCTAGTCTCCAAAGACCAAGTCAGGGGCATTGGTCTGGTATAACTGGGTGACTGACCCTCAGGAGTGGGGCAAGGAGGGCCTGGAAAGAGGGGCCATTCTGGTCCGATCTTCGGCCACCTTTCTTCAAAGGGCTCAATGCTCTTCACAAGGTTTGCTGCAGAATTCCAGTGGCTGTGATAACTTATACGACACCACATACCCATTTCACCATTGAGAAGTATCTTTTACCACCAGGGAAAAAGTGAGTTGGCTATAAGAAGACATCAAAGCATTATCATAGGGTACAGCTGCCCATGGCCCAGGAAGCACACGGCTCCAGTGGAGTATACACCAGACTCCACATGGAAGGCTAACTTATAAAGTGGCTGACTCAGCCTTCCCCAGGAAGTGAGTGAGTGTGTCACATTTTACAGAAGATCAAACAGAATCTCAAAGAGTGTGTGTATTTGTCGAAGCCCACCCAACTGGGGTGTATCATGACTAGCGGGGACTCACAAGTGCTCCTTAACTTACCCACCATGTGCTGGTGGTATTTGGGGGCTGGGGGCACAGCAGGATCTGCCCTCACAGGGCTTTCACTCTTGAGGGAATAGATCTGAAGATCCAGTGTTCACCCACAAGGAGCAGGCTGGGTGCTCTGACCCTGGGCATTTGTCTCTCCTCTCAGCAAACCCTTCCTTCTTCATCTGCCTACTTCACAGCAGGCATGGTGTTGAGAGAGGAGCAGGGAGACAGCGTCTGCTCAGGGGGGCTCAACCTGGATACTGACTCCCCATCCAAATGGCTTCAAGGATCCATGGAGCTAGGCCACCCTCAATACACTCAACCAAAGCTTCATAGGCTCGGGTCCAATCACACTGCTTGGTTTTCTCTGTATTAAAAAAACACAAACTTCTATTTTTAGTTGTTGTTAAGAGCCATTGAGTCAGTTCTGACTCCTAGTGACCCTGTATAGGTTTTCCGAGGAGCTTCTGGTAAGGTTGAACCTCTGACCTTGCGGTTCAAACCGACCTTGAAGTCCAGCGCATTAACCCATAGTGCCACATCAGGACTCAATTTCTAGTAAGGGGAGATTAAAAGCTTCTTTTTAAAAGATATTTAAGATAATCAAAGTCATAATCATAATGACAAGGCTGGGTGCTGGGCCCTATTCCAAGCACTTAAATCCTCACAACAACCCTCTGAGAAAGACAGTATTGCTACAGAGGAGAAACTGAGGTACAGTCAGATGGAGTGATGTGCTCGAGGAAGTAATGTAGCAGTGTCCTGAGGGTGGGTTGGGGAAGACAGAGGCAAGGGAACAGGACCCTGGTACATCTGAGCCCACGGCTACATAAGCACAGTGGCCTTTGAGGCTGGCACACCCTTTAGGAACTCTCCATGTCTGTGACTAGACACTGGCTCAGCTGAACCTGAGGGCCCAGCTCCATTTGAGAGAAGAAAGTTCGCCTCATTCCTCTCTTGTTCACAGTCCTTCTGTGGTCCCTGTGGCTCAGGAGACCTGCGGTCCAGCCTCAAGACTTCTCCTGTCCAGCCTGACCTCCTACCCACCACATCCTACCCAGCCCTGCATGTGCCCACGGTCCAGCCTCTAGGCCTTTGCTCTTGTCGTTCCCCGCACCTGGGACACCCTCCTCTACATCTCTGGGGTCCAGTTCTGATGTATACTACCTCCTACAGGAAGACTTCCCTGCTCTCTGCAGACCACTTCCATCACAGCCTATCCTCGTCTGCCTTAGAGTCTCCCATTCTTGTCGGGAGTGGTCTCATTTCTCAGACTACACTCAGAGCAGGGCATGTCTCATTCATCTTTGGTTCCCAGAGTCAACTCCCGAACAAAGCCAACCCAACCTCTCTGCTGGATCTGAGATGTGGCCAGTTCCATTCTACCCACCCAATTGAAGCTAGGCCATTTCTAAAGCAGTCCAGGTGCAGGGTACAAAAAGACAAGGCCAGCTTTTAACCCACCGCCATTTGTCTCTTGGTTTATTTCTCTGTCTTCCCTAGGAGGCAGAGTAGGGCAGAGATACTTTGTTTCCCATTTTGAAGACTATAAATAGAAATCCTGGAGCCATTAAAAACAGCCTCCCTAAAGCCATACAGCCAGGGGGTGTTCCCAGTACCCCCAAATTGTTGCCACACTGGGGTGGATCAGTCCTGGGGTCAGAGGTGTATCTAAGTTATGGCAGGTATGGCATGTACCCTCAGTTCCACTTGAAGGAGGTGCCATTGAACAGTTGCTATGAACAATAGCAGTTCTCATCAACTGTAAGCAATCATTCAACATTTTAAGACTGAATTATTTTCTGCTTTGAATTTCTTGTTGAAACCATGTTTTCGGTAAAATGGAAGGCATTTTTGAATGAAATTTTTTTTTTTTTTTTTTATTTCTGTGTTATCAACTAATAGGTAGCATGTAGGTACTTCAGCATCTCTCTTCTTCTTTTTCTTTTTTTTTTTTTTTTTTTAGGTAATATGTATTTTGATACAATGTTAATGGTAGGATGAGGCCTGCTACATCATCCTATAGCTACACACAAAGATACAGTCCCCACCAGACGTCTGTACATACCAGAAGTGGAGAGCAGGTTCCCACTAAATCTCAGAGGCAGAAAATGTAGGTGGGCACTATATGCCCCGTGGGTCCTAAAAGGGTTCAAATTAATACTCTCATATTTGTGGACTTCTATGGATCAAGGCACAAGACCTTGCTTTTCTGAGTATACAAAGAGAAGAAACTCAAAACAATGACTTTGAGCCCATAAGAGACTTTCATCAGTGAAAGCAAGGAAGCAGCAGTTGTAATTTTTATGTAGTGCCATTATACGTTAAGTAAACGTTGAACAAGCCTGACTTGCATTTTTCAGCTGATACTATTGAAACATGGGGGTATTTGAAAGATGGGGGTCAGATATTTGGAGAGAAGGGCAGTTTCAGTGCTTGCCATTAGCACTATTTTTGTAGTGCTAGAGGAGGGGGTCGGAGTCCTGGTGTGGCGCTGTGACTTAACAGACTGCAAAACCATTTGAACTACAAGCTCGGTGGTTCAAGCTCACCAGTTGCTCCCTGGAAACCCTATGCAGGGTTGCTGTGGGTTGGAACCGACTCAATAGCACTTAACAGCAACAACAACAGAGGGGATCAGACCCCAGGTTAAGTCCTAGCTATGGCTCTTGGCCTTTGGTCACTCCTCTTTATCCTTGGTTTCTGCAGTGCTATTGTGTGCATGGACCGTTCCAAAGAAGCCAGGGCTGGCATGACGATTTACTGAGCAGACATGTGATGTCATAGGGTTTTGTGTAAACTTAACTGGACCAGAATTCTCAGTAGTTTGGCAGTTATTGTTGTAGTAATCCCCCAAGATAAGATCTAATATAATGTAACGTATAATATAATGTAATGAATTCCATGATGAGATCTGCTAAGAGCAGCCAACCAACTGAAAGGTGGTGTCCTTGTGGGTGCTGCCTGTTTCCAATACATTGCACATTCAGGCAAAGCTTGCAGCTCTCTGCTCAGTCTGGATCCTGCATCTGGCTTGTCATCCAACTTCCCATACTTTGAACTTGAGCCAAGTAGCCTGCTCTATCGCCTGCCAGTCCTGGGAGTCATCAGCAGTCTGCCATCTGACCTGTCCAACCTGCCGGCTGGCTGTTTGACCAGTCAATCTTGGTTCATCAGTCTTCAAGTTACATGAATCAGAAGCCTCCAGCCTGACATCTGACCCATGGACTTGGGACTTGCCCACTTCTACAATGTGTGAGCCAGTTCCTTGACATAAACCTTTCTTTATATACAATATATAAGCTTCACTGGTTTTGTTTCTCCAGAGAACACAGCCTAAGGCATGCAGAGACCTGGCACATGGCCTAGGACCTTGGTAAAGTTCCACAAAAGATGACAGTGGGCCAGGGGCACACAGGGAGGTGTGTGCACCTCACAGGCCCTCCCCACCACAACTCTTGGGCCCTCCTCCCTGATCATTGCCTGATACAACTGTACTGGCTAGGAGGCCCCCATTCACATGGGCACCCTCCAGGATGTATCAATGTCTGCCCAGTCTGGAAAAACTCAGAGGCCACCATTCCCCACCTCCATCTGGAGGAGTTGGAAAATGAAAGGATGTCCAAGGTCAACAAACAAGTTACAGAGGGCCAGCCCAGGGCCTTGCACACATGCGAAGCTGTGAGTGCTGGCACCCACGAGGACTAAGCTTGGGGCCTCAGTACCACTCCGGCCTGCCCTGGGCTTTCCAGGCCAGGAGGAAAGCCCTGCCACTTTGCACTTGGGGCCTGTGGGGGGACACTAACCGGCTGGGTTGAGGCTTCCCCTCAGCTGTGATGTCACCAGGGCAGTTGAGTGGAGCGGGGCACATATCACACAGAATCTGGTCATCAGGCGGTGACATAACTGTCTGCCCTCCGCTGGCTGGGAGCCCGAGATGCGGTGGCTCCTCTCCGCCCACTGGGAGATAGCGTGGTTGGAAGTTAGAGGAGTAGTGAAGCAGGGGTGGGAAGGTGAGCGCAGGCGGGAAGAAGGTGGGGACAGAAGACTGGTGTTCAGGTGCCCCGTTGGGTGAGTGAGGGCGGACAGCCACCGCCAGATGTGTGCAAGTCCTTGCTCCAGCACTTGGTTTGGCAGGATTCCAGACGACTCCAAGCCCCCACCCCCACCCCCCGCCGCCCCAATGCAACCATCCGGTTCCCAAGCCAGGGGTGGCAGAGCCCTTGGAGCCACCGGCTCCCACCTCCACCGGGAAAATGGGGCGCAGGGAGGGGATATTTGCTCCGGGGCAGCGGCGCATTTGCCATCCTGCAGTGCGGCGCGCCACAGGTGCCAGCACGCAGGACCCAGAGAGGATAGCGTCGGCCAAGGTCACACAGCGTGGTTGAGGCGGGGCGGGGGCTTACCGAGGCGTCCGGGGAGCCTGGTTGCAGGTCGCCGTTGAGCTCGTACTCCTCAGCGCCCGAGTCCATGGCGCGGTCGCCGGGGCCTAAGAAGTCCACCCGCGCCACCACCCGCCTCCGTCGCTGGGCCCCGGCCGCGCGCTTGCTGCCTTCCCGGGCCGGCTGGGCGGGCCCCGCGCGCCACCGCCCACAGTCCCCGCCCCACCACCGGAGGCGGGACCCGGGCCTGCTAGGCCTGGAACCGGCGTCGGCAACCCTGGAAAGCCCCAGCTTAGGGGGCCCTGGTGCTCCTTGAGCCAGCTTCCTTCTCTGCCCACGGAGTCCTGGACGCCCCTGTAGGGTTTGCGGAGGCCAGGAGGGACCGCATTGCGTAGTGCGGACGCCCAACTGTGAGGGCCTGCTTGGAGCCCCACCCCTCGCTCAGGGAGGAACCCAAGGCTTTGGGCCTCTCTCAGAGAGCTGAATTTGTTGTTGATAAGTGCTGTCGAGTGGAGTCGTTTACAACCCACAGCGACCCTATATAGGGTTTCCAAGGAGTGGCCGGTGAGCCTGAACCACTGACCTTGTGGTTCAAACGACTTTGCAGTCCAATGCATTAACCCACAGCGCCACACCAGGACTTGGAATGACTACCCTAAATAGGATTTCCAGGCTGTAAATCTTTACAGGAGCAGAAAGCCTATCTTTCTCCCACTGTACCTAGACTTTGCAAATCAGTCAGGAAAGGCAGTTTTGTGGCCCCCACTCCTGGTGTGCTGCTGTGGGATAAACCACTGGACCACAAGGTCAGTCTGAACCACAAGGTCGCTGGTTCAAATTCACCAGCCACTCTAATGCTAGGCCAGAGAGTGTGTCTCTTACAGTCATCCCAGTTCCTCAGGAGTTCCCCGCAGTCTGCAGCTTTGCTAGACCCTTTCACCACCCCATGGGAGGGAGGCATTATCTTTGGGCAAGCATACTAGTGCAAGCAGCTGTAGGACACCTGGTCCCAACCTTCTCTCAGACCCCACTGTGGTGTGTGTGTGTGTTTTCAGCTTCTTGTGCATTTTTTCATGATATCCACTGATGCTCCTATCAAGGACCTTGAAGACACAGACACCAAGTAAACACATGAACCTTTTCACCTTTCACCTGCCTTGAGAGGGAGGTCAGTCTACCAGACTCTGTCCCAGAGCTGCTGTTTGGTGGCCGTGTGGCCTCAAGCAAATAGCTCAACCTGTCTGTGCCAGCATCCCCCTCTGTGAAATGGAGGGTGTCAGGATGTTAACACACTGCTGGGCATTTGATTAAGGTCATGTGAGCCTAATCTTTTCCCCCTCCCAGATGAAGAAACTGAAGGTCAGAGAAGTTTACCAAGCCCAAGATCACCAAGAAAACAAGTTAGGACTCAAAGCAAGCTTAACGAGAGGCCTGAGAGAGGAGTGTAGGGGAGAAGGTCTCCCCATTCATCCTGTCATCATGGAGCACCAGTTATGTGTTAGACATAATTCATCCAAGGGGCATGACCTAAGCAAGACAAGCAGAGCCTGCTCTGTGGTGGGCACACGTTAAATGAAGGCAGTACGGAGCCAGCCCTGGGAAGTACATACTTCCCAGTACTCACTGACAGGGGGAACTGAGGTACAGGTGGTAAGAGGCACAATTATTCAATCTCATGAGGCCTTGAGTGGAGAGACTGTGGAGATGACAGTGTTGCCAAGCAGCTGTGTGCTGCCCTGCTACCCACAAGGTAGTAGAGACAAGCACTGATGGAACCCAGGCTCAGGGCCTCCCCTCTTCCAGCTGTCCCATGCCTCTCTTATGCTGGGAGGGTGAATTCTGTAAGTGAAACTGAAGACCACAGAAAATGCAAGTCATCATTGTTGTTGTTGTTGTTGTTAAGTGTCATCGAGTCGGGTCCAAGCCATAGCAAACCTGCATAGGGTTTCTGAGGAGTGACTGGTGAGCTTGAACCACTGACCTTGCAGTTCAAATGGTTTTGCAGTATAGCGTATTAACCCACAGTGCCACACCAGAACGCCTTAAAAGAGTGAACTTCCACTAAACACTGGTCCAGGCCTTACTCCTGATTCATGGGCACATCCTTGCCTTTCAGGGAGGTAGGGGGTCTAAGACATCAGGGTGTGCAAACAGAAACCCTGGCCTAGGGTCTCCTGAGTGACTATGATTGGTCACTTGGACTTTGTGTCCCCATCTTTAAAATAAGAGACTCGGGTTTGATTCTTCAGAGCTCTGTCCCTGGTCAAGGATGTGGGGAGTTTCCTTGGGAAACCAGGGACACACATCCTGATGACAGTCCTGTCCTGTCACCCCAGAACTCAGCAGGGCAGGCAGGCTGGGTATCATGCAAGCTTGAATCTGGCTGGGCCAGGCCTCCTATAAGTACCCTTCATGCAATAGGCTGGCAGGCAGGAACTCCAAAGGGGCAGTGCCTTAGGGAGAACTATTGGTGGTCCATTTTACAGCTGAAGAAACTGAGGCACAGAACGCAACTCTGCTAGACTCAAAATATATTCACTACCAACCACTGCATGGAGGCAGCAGGTCCAGTGGACATCTGTGGGCACTTGGGCCCCTTGGGCAGATAGCTTCCTGCCTTGGCCTCTGGCCTCCCCATGACACTGGGTAGCAACACTGAAGGTGGTGAATCTTAAGAGTTTTAGAGTGGGGTCTGGACACAGAACCCCAGTAAAATAATGTCATTTTCACTTTCTCCACCCCAGGTTTCTGCTGCTTTGCATAATTTTTCATGAGCAGCCCTGTGGGTTAATGAGCTGGACTGCAATTTTGGTTTGAACTGCAAGGTTGGAAGTTGAAGCTCACCAACCGCTCCTCAGAAACCCTTATACATGGTGGTTACCGCTCCTCAGAAACCCTTATACATGGTGATTATGGGTTGGAACCAAATTGAGGGCACTTAACAACAACAACATTCACAAACAAACGTAACACCCCACCCAGGCAGACACCATCCTCAGGCCTGCTTGGGGCAGCTGCTCACTGTACTAGGGACCAACCTTCTGCTGGCAGGGTCAAGGGATGGGGGACCATGGGAAAAGGGCCCTGGGAGCCAGAGTTCACTGTTGTTGTTAAGTGCTGCCAAGTCGACTACAACTCATAGTGACCTTGTATAGGATTTCTGAGGAGTAACTGGTGGGTTTGAAATGCCGACCTTGTGGTTCACAGTCAGCACTGAACCTACAGTGCCACATAGACGAGACTGAATGTGGAGAGAAGAGACGAAGGACTGGCTGCCCCTGTCTGGTGACATCAGGAAAAGTTTGGCAGGAATATGCAGAGGTCCTGGGGGAATTTCTGAGCTGATGTGAGGGTCACTAATCCCACTTTTCAGAATACAGAAGTCAAGGAAGGATTGTAGCATAACAATTAGGAATTTAGACCCCAGTTTAATTTTGAGTTGTTTCTGACTCATAGCGACCCTGTATAGGATTATTACTGTCTGGTGGTGGCTCTGGGCAAAGCACTTCTTTTTTCTGAGCCCCTGTTTCCTCAGCTACACAATACACAGTGGCAACCCCCTTACCTCAAGGTGTAAAGTTTTAGGGAGGGTCAGAGAAGGCCTCTATTACTCCCCTGATGCCCGGTGTCCCCACTTAGGAATTCCTCATTTGTCTATGACATGCCAATCTTCTAGCTCAGGCCCCTCTACAGTCAGGCAGGCCTGACTCCAGAGACAAGTTTTAATTAAATTTTAAACTTCTTTTCTTGTGTATAACTTTTCATTGTGATTTCGGTGAAGGTTTGCAGCGGAAACTGGTTTTCCACTCACCAATTCATACACATTTTGATTTGTGACATTGATTGCAGTCCTCACAGGGTAACAGCGCTCTTCCCGCTTCCTTCCTGATTTGACCATTTCATTTGTCCTTCTTTCGTAATCCTTCCTGCCTTCTGAGCTTTGCCCGTGGAAAAATGCTGCCCTTTGGAGCTTGTGTGGTTGGTTGTTCTAGGGAGTGTGTACCTCTCTGATGTTATTGTTCACTTTGTAGGCCTGTCTATTGTTTGGCTGAAAGTTGAGCTACAGGGGTGGTTTAAAGTTTAAAGGGTGACTCACCAGTCGCTCTTTGGTGATCCTATACAGGGTCTCTGTGAGTTGGAAACAAGTCAAAGGCACTTAACAGCAACAACAAAGGAGTCCTGGTATAACACTGTAGGATAAGCACTGGACTGCTAATCACAAGGTTGGCAGTTCAAACCCACCAGCTGCTCCTTGGAAACCCTTAATAGGGTTGCTATGAGTCAGAATAGACTCAAGAGCACTTAACGAACAACAAGGGCCATAGTAAGGATCCCTGGTGGTATAGTGGTCAGCACAAAGCCTACAAGGTCAGCAGTTCGAACCTACCAGCTGCTCCATGAGAAAAAGATGAGGCATTCTGCTCCAGTAAAGATATACAATTTTGGAAACGCTGTAGATCAGTTCTACTCTATCATGTGGACTCAGTATGTGTCAGAATTGACTTGATGGAAGTAGTTGGAAAGGTTATAGTCTTGGGAATTCCACTAAGTTCTATCAGACCACAAAGTCTAGTATTTTTTAATTATTATTATTATTTTAAGTTTTGTTTTGCATTTTTCTCCTACTCTACCAGGACCTCCTATTGTAATCTCTCCAGAGTGCTGACTCCATCTAGTTCTCCTGGTCTCAGGGTCATGGAGACTGGGGTTTGTACTTGGACTAATTCTTTCATTGTGTCTTTGATTTCCTTCATGCTTCTCTGCTCTGGATAGGGAGAAACCAATAGTTACAACTTAGATGGCTGCTCACAAGCTTTTTTCTTTAAGCCTTAAAGATTGACTTTAATCATATGTTTGGTTTTGTTTTTTTTTTTTCTATGTAAGTCATGTTGTATATTTGAAATTCATGAGTTACTTATAGTTTTGTAATAAGTGTATAAATCTTATTCTGGCATTTTGCTAACTTTTTTTTCTCTTTTTTTTAAGGCATCACTGCCACACAATAGCATGTTGTTGTTGTTAGGTGCCATCGAGTCGGCACCGACCCATAGCGATCTTATGCATGACCGAAACACTGCCCAATCCTGGGC